GTGAGAAAAAGGATAACTGGATCATAAGTCTGAAGAGTTGGGAGGAAAAACGCTTGGGCATGAGTATCACAGGCTCGAAATCCTCGAATTGGACGTATAAGGCAATCGGAAATGAAGGCCTATAGACAATCAGAGAATGATTTTCATGAGCAGACTGGAGTAATTGACACGCGAGTTGGAAGGGGGGCTAGACTAATGAGATAAAATCATGACCCAGAAGTCCTGCCTATTTTACTAGCAAATACAAATTCGCTTCGCCGATGACCCCCCGCACAGTGGCATAGAAAAGACCTGTCAATCCTTAAAATTCGTGTATGCCCTATGATCAATAGAGGTTCGTATCAGTATGCCGTGTCGAAACAACTCTGCACTACTTGGGCTCAAGCCTTACTAAAGGGGGTGATGGAACAGGCGAGGCCGAAAACGCAGTCCAGCCCGGAAGGAGATACCTTTTTGGAAGCATGTCTGAGAAATCTAATCGAAAAATGAGGCTCAGTCATAGGACTGTGGAAAAACGCAAATGCTAGTTCTTCATTATGTCAACGAAGTTGAACAAACAAAGTTCTTGAATGAAGATGCCTGCAAGTTGGGCTGCGATATTGAAGTCTAATCGTGTGTAGGGTGATGTATACGCAATTGAAGAATCACACCATTACTGGGTCGCCGATACCCTGACTATTACAAGCTAGTTGTGAATAGAGGAAGAAATTATATTCCTTATCACAAAAGTCGCCTCAAGTTATGGAGACGGAGCCCCACGTACTAGTTTAAGGATAATAGCCAAGATAAAAAGATGTAACAAGTCCAGAAGTAGTGACTGGAGAATTCCACGAGAAGACTTGGGATTGAGACGTAACGCTGACGACGCGAAGCAGCGACTGATCGCAATCTCGTGACCGTGGTGGCACTAAAACTAGGATAGAACTGCCTTTATTACTGGTATAGGAGGGGACTGAGGGTATGCATAAACCATCAGTGAGGGGTTGTTATATCTACCAAAATATTTTACATTTTCTACCAGTAGACGAATGGGTTGGATGAATTAAAATGTCTAATAAGAATGAAAACAAAACAGCAACTAGACCCAAAAGTGAAAAAAGCTAGAATTTATGAAGAACTTAATGCTAATTCGTGTCCAACAACTCAAAAAATTGGCACGTCACTGAGACCGAATCCCAACCAGTAATCGAGCACATCTTCAGTCAATGTTAAGCTTGCACCCAAGGAGAAATGGGTTCCAAGTGCTAGGCGCATCCACTCACGTACATAGCCCCGTGCTCCAGGTAGAGGTCGCGTCTTCATTTACTTCTTCAGGAAGTTTAAAAATTTAGAAAGGAAAATCAGTAATAAAAATTATTTCAAAATTTTCAGCTGGCATGTACATGAATCAACTGGAGGAGTTCGTGACGGTGGTTAGAAATGCAGGGTGCCATATAGTCGAAAACATCCGAAATGGAGGAGGGACAGCGTTAAAAGAACTTGGTTCTTTATACAAAAATTGCTAAGCAAAGTCGTAAACAGCGAATCTGTATTTTAAGTTTCCCTCCTGTATAATGTCAGTAGGAACTTCAGGCAGGAATACAGGAACCAATGAGTCCCAGGAATCAAATGGGAACTTCACGTCATGCTCAACATCGCTGAGCACGTGAGTACAGTATATTCTCACGGGATACTTTTTTTGATTAAGAGCTTCACTATATACTTGAGCTCCCCCAATTATAAAAACTTGGTCCACTCGTCCCTTCTCGAACAAATCTTCGATCACGCTCACGCACTCATCGTACTTCTTGAACCACATGCAGTTTTCATTTGATTCGAATGGAGATGAGGAAAGAATCATATTGATTCTACCAGGAAGAGGTCTGAATTTAGCAGGGATGGAGAACCACGTTTTCTTCCCCATCACTACTGCATTCATTTTGTCGGGAACAGCTTTCTTTGTGGTGTTTAAGAAAAACTCCATGTCCCCCTTCAAATGCCACGGAAGTTTACCGTTTAGTCCAATGCCTCCATTATTAGAAACAGAAACAATCACATTGATTCGCGGGAGAGTCATGGTAGTTAGTACAGACCGCCAGAGTTTAAAACGCCTAAATGACTTTAATAAAAATGTGATATTTTGTAATATATTATATTATGATATTAAAATATATGATTTTGTAGTCTACTAAAGTAATTAGATTTGATGGGCTAAATTCGAAGTTCCACGAGCTCTCGAACCCTCACTGCACTTTAGGGCTTTCCTTTTATTGTGTGTTTCAACAACGTTAAACATTATTCGTAGTATAATTTCTGTATAATCGCTTTAATTGAAAGCATACTATCAATTTCCGTAGATATATCGCAGTGCTATAATGCATATATGAATATAGCACGCTTGTGTAATAGTTTCATTGGGCTTTAACATATAACTAAGGTAAATTCCGTTTTTTCCTAAATGTTTATGTCTTGTTAAATTAACCAGCACGCCTCAACGTATACCTGATTATTGGCAATTTCATAGCGTCTGTTCATCGCCAATTCGTAGTTATGTGCATTCCCAAACTTGTT